CCCTAAGCGACGTTTGCTGGTGGGTGCCGTAGGGGGGGTGTCCTCGTTTTGTGATGGAGTAGGTGTAGAGTGGGCATCTCTATACCATCTGTCGCCGTATCGTCGGAATTTATCAACCTCAGCTTGGGAGGGGAAGCCAAGTGTTCCCTTCGCAGTGCGAGAAGGGCGGACTGGGTGTCACGGTGCGAACCGTGATGCTTAGTAAGAGGAAGATCACGGCACGTGATCTCCGACCTGTTTATCTGAACTTCAGTTCTAGATCCTGTTGTAGCTCTGGGGGCTACGTCTTGTATAATAGCCTGCCCCTGCCTGTACCTGTCAAGTGGAATCTGATCTGTTACGACCTGTTCCTACCAGTCATCTCCTATCATACCGTCCTGCCAGCCCGCACCCTGACAAGAAGCCTTTAATAGGCTAATTTAATACATAATCTAACGGGCTAGGTAGGCTTCTTATATAGAGTAAAGCTTTAATTAATAAAGCCTACTAACGTAGACCTTTCTCTATAGCTAGTATTTTTAGTATAAAATTCTAGCTTAATTCACTACCTTAGCTACTCCCCAGACAACTCAACAATAAGCTCCCCTTTCTCCCCAAGCGTCCGCTTAACAGTTGTTCCCAACTCCCCACTGAGCTCGGAGATCCTCCGCCTCACCCAAACATGGTCAGCATCTCTAGAATCTAACAAAACAGCACTAAACCACTCAACTCGCGTCGGGAAGATCTCCAATCTCTCCAATCTAAGCCCAACACCACTCTTTTCCCGAACAACAACCCTCCATAAAGCCCCAAGATCATTTCTGTACTCCTCATTCAAGGCATAATCATCCACAAAGTCCCCACAACCGTAAATGACAAGCTTTCCATGATAAATCTCCACACCCTGAACGTGATGCGATGAGTGGCCATGAACAATATCCACGCCACACTCATCGACCAAGAAATGGGCAAGCGATGTGATCCGACCATCCGGCTGCCAAGCATAATTCGGCCCCCAGTGAACTGAAAAAATCTTCAACGCCGGCTTGGTCTCATCGGCATCAACAAGCATTTCCCGCAGCCGAGCACGAGTATCGCGAGTGTAATCAAAAAGGTTGAATCCCGGCATGCTAGCCCACACATGCGGGTGATCAGAGGCGGAGTATATATGGACCGTGTAGCGGTATTGCTTGCTTTCATCAACAGGCTCTGAGGCCCGGGGCAGATGTAGCACAGCAGGCTTGCGTGCATCATCGGCTGTTTCACCAGCCCCTGCGTAAGCCACGTTCGCCGCTTGCAGTGTTTGCACGGTCTCTGTGAGACCCTCGGTGTCAAAGTCGAGAGTGTGGTTATTAGCGAGACTTGCATAGTCGATACCGCCGGCGTGCAGAATGGGGCCTAGGTTTGCGGGGTGCATGCGGTAGTTGAATACCTTGTTAGGCCACGGGATTTGGGCAGTTGTCACGGCAGTTTCCAGATTAATGCATGCTAGTGTAGAGGAGTTCAGGAGGGGGAGGGTTGTGCCCCACGGAGAAGATGGTGTGTAGTTTCCTTGGGAGAGGAGGGTTGGATGGGCTTTGATGAAGGTTCTGGCGATGCGTTCATCGTGCTGGTTGGCAACATGCTCGGGCATTAGTTGGTCGAGCAGGCGGCCGAGCATAACATCGCCTGTGAAAGTCAGAGTGAAGTCTGTTGTGGACATTGTAGAGAGTAGTCAGTTTGAAGAATTGGACCTGATGGTTTAGAGCAGATTGGACCTTTTTGTTCAATTGAGTCCTCCAATGGATTTGTGACGTTGTAATCATGACCTCAGTCGTCAACTCCAAGTTGATAACGATGGATTTCCCCAAAGCCCAAATTTGGGCCCAAGGTACGGCGAATCCCAACCCGCAACGAGCTAGGAGTCGAACTTTTACACTCAACCTAGATCCTACATTATAGGGGGGGCATAGCGAACCCGCCCCGCCCCCATTGTCTTTTGGCTCAAAATTTTATAAAATGATAGACTAAGCATTTATAAAGATACGAAGTTATAGGTCTCTCAGACCGCCCTTCGGGTGGTCATAAGAAAAATGCTAGTGCTAAGTAACCTCTATTAAAAAGGAATGAACATAAAGCTGATTTAATTAAGCTTACTGGATTTAACGAGAATGTTAGAAGAGTCTCTTTTAGGCCGGAAGTGGTAGGGAACTTGTTTAAACTTTCACAAACAGACTCTACATTCATTGTAGTATGTATGTCTACTTCTTTTTACCAGCCACCCGTAAGCGGACACCGGGAGTCGATACGCGTACAAATCATGATTTGCTGAGCGAAGCGGAAGCAAATCCAGCGCGCTTTGAATAAGGCCTAAGGAACGACCTACAGCTAGGTTAGATAGCTTATAGGCGGCTTGGCGGGCTTAGGGCTTAAAAACCTCCTTATGTGTGAGCATTTCGATTGGTGGGAGGAAAAAGAGAATGATATGGCCATGAAGAAGAGAGCTATGGTTCCAACCTCTAACGTCCCTGAACTTATACTTATCCGCATTTATATCTCACATGCCTAATTCAGACATGACATGCTGACAACTGTTACACTATTTAGGACGATAAACATGCGCGCGCCTTCTAATCCGGGGACAGTTTGACTGCTGGGATGATGTAGAGAGTTACATCGCTATGAAGACCAGAGCCACCCCTAGAACATCTACTGTCCCAATCGCGGCCCCTAAATTGGTATCCATTCCCACTTCTAACCCTAATCTACTTGAGGCCTTGCACACTAAAACTTGCTACACTTTTCAGGACGAGAGGTTCGCGCGTCTTCTTGTTCGCAAACAGTCTGATTGGTGTGAGGATCTTTAATATGACATTGCCACGAAGACCAAAGCCCTAGTTGTGGACCCTGAACCCCCACGACGGACACCAAAAAACTGGCTACAACTTCCACTTACCATCTCACCGCAAGCAAACTGGTAACAATCTCCACTACCAAGTCGCGTATCTTTCATACCCGAGACTAACCACGACTAAATAGAACGACGAGTGTGTTCAACGTGCTATTCGTGAACATCACAAATGCACAGAGTAAGTTGAGAACAATGTCGTTATCACAGCTAAGTCCCTTTCAGTGGACATTCATATCCCCACTACAAACATTGAAGACGAGGCTAGCTTTTCTACCGCCACAAATCTGGTATAATCTACCCGTTTCCGAATTTTCATCTTTTTCAACCTTGACAAACTAAAAATGGTTATGCGATAGGGTGACGAGTATGCTCAACTTCTTATCCGTAAACATAATGACGGGCTGGAGAATGCTGCAGATGACACTGCTATGAAAACCAAAGCTCTCGCCACAAACACTGAAATCTCCACTATCCACACTGGGGATCTGGATACAACTTCTACCGGCCCCACCAACGCTAGCAAACTGGTATCTGTCCCCACTTTCAGAACCTAATCTCTTTTGGACCCTACATGCTAACTATAACTGTGCTTAAGAGTGTCGAGTATGCCCAACTTCCAGTTGATCAAGACAGCTTGGGAATGTCGAGAATTAATTCACTGTGGATGCCGAAGACCTCGATGTCAGTTCCACCGACACTGCCCCCGCTAGCATTCTGGTGTCTATCCCCACTTCTAGCTTGCCTATCGCTTATAGACCCCAGAGACTTAAATCACTACGCTTTAGGACGGCAAAAAAGGCTCAAGTTCCTTTTATTCAACATGATATCGTCGTGGACGCTGAAGACCTGCACATCAACAATGGGCTGCACGATACAACATATGGCTCTGTCATAGCCTTTCAATCGGTATCTTTTCCAATTTTCAGCTCGTGCATCTATTTCAGGTTGCAGAAACTAAAAGGGGGCCACACTATAGGACGACGATGATTTTCAACACCCCGTTAGTGAGCACGAAGACTGGTGTGAGGACGCTGAATTTCACGTTTCTGTGGTCACTGAAGAAATGCCTACTTGCAATGGGCCTCTAGGTACCACTAGCGGATCTATCACACCTGTTGGTTTGGTGTACAACCCCAATTCTAGCCCGACTATCCTCTTTAGACCTCGGAGACTAACGATGGCTATTCTATAGGACCACGAGGACATCCAATTCAGTGAGGATGGCGACTGGTCAAAAGGATGCGGAGAATAACATCTCTATGTACACCGAAGACATTGTTATAAATAACGATCCTCTCGCTACGACTGAAAACCTTAAAAGATCAGTCAAATTAATTTTATCCCCACCACAGCCAATTCTACCCCGTGTTTGGGAAATTTGAAACTGACTGTGATTGCACCATGTAGGACGATTCACAAACTCATCCCTTGCACCCCGACACATCTGATTTGGCCAATGATCTTGAGACTCCGCTTACTACAGACCATCAACTTGCGATAAACACCGCTACCGAGTCTTCCCATCAGATTGGTGACTCCCCGCAATCAGTCGGTCCAAGTCAGCTGTTCAGTGTCCCCAATTCCAACTCGACCCCCGAGTCAATCCCCTAATAGTCCAAGCAGACAATGCCTTCTCAGCTGAGTGGTTCCGCAGTGCCAGATGAGGTTAATGATGAATTTAATTACCGCTCGTTGATTGTAAGCGCCGATTTGGCGATCCACCACTGGAATTGGGTTGGTTGCCCAATGTATGCACGAAATGCGACTCCACCGTCAGTTTCCCTTGCTTTAATGCAATCTTAACGGAAGGCACCAAGGGGACGAGACAAACTTCGCGTGGTTTTCATTTTGAACCGTGCAATGCACCAAATCATCCCTCTCAGTTTGAGAGTCGAGAGGGGAAACGAAGGAATTTTGCAGATGCATGGTTCTGAGATGATTGAAGCATGCGGTGGATACACTAATAATCACTATTCTCTCTATGGAGTTTTGATTATTGATGGCTTTTCTATGCGCCGAACGATCTTTTCGGATGCCGGGGTGCCAGTTGTACGAGGATATGCAATCAACACTGGAGAATTTACAATCGACAATGGCATTTGTGAAAATGGACCTCTTATTTCGCGATACGAATGGATTGGCGAGATCAGCTGGTCGCTGCCGCTCAGAGACCTAATCGCTCTCCTCGAAAGCTCGCCAGGAAAACAACTTCTTTAATGTTGAAGACCGAATCCCTGGCAATAAAAGAATCTTTCACCCCCAAACTATCTTTCCACCTACTCTTTTGCCCCCCTGGAGATTTTGAGCAAGATTTTTCAAAAGGCTTAGGCCTCCGCAAAAAGAATTGTTCGCACGTCTATTTTATCTGCCACTTGGGATCATGGGACCCATGATCAAGAAGACTCCTGGCCCAAATTCTATCTCTTATACATCACTCTCTTTCCCAATTGACATCAGGGGCGATGTCATCAACAAGGCTTGGACTACTACCAATGCTATCATTTGCAAACTTTTTGCTTCCCTTTTGGAATGGGGCTAATCATCAAGAAATCATAGAGTTTGATCAAGGCTGTCTTCCATCCACATAGGATTGTACCTGAGGTTGTTTCGTTCTTATCAGGCTAATTTACGTCACACTTTAGTTGTTCTAAAAAGTGTAGGTGGCATTTTGAGAGGTTAAGGTTGAGATAGGGGTATGTTTTCAGATCACAGTGACTTTCAGACATTTTGGTAACTTCAGGACCATTGTAATTTCTAAGATTGACTCATTTTGGGCCTTATTTAACTTGTCTGGATATCTTGATTCCCTGGACTAAGTCTTAAATGATTTGGGAAGTAACTTTAGTTTACAGAACATTGTCACTCAAAGTTGACGCTTTGCTGAGACCATGCTAAGATAAGTTCACTACCCTCTAAAAATGTTTTCCTAAAAGAAAGGCATAATCAAAAGGAAGGGTTTATAATCTTCAATTTCAATTTCTCCTAGGAAGTTTAAGCAAGTAAAATGCTATGCTTGAGCAAAAACAGATGTCGCATAGCATAGTAAACTCGTTCTAATCTCTGAACCGAATGAGCCCCAGATGCAGACACGGGTCTTTCCAAAGGAGTGTCAGGTTAGCTCTCATCCGGCCTTGATCCATTTCCACTCAGGCATCAACCCTGAAAAATCAGGCATTTGATCTTTGGTCGCTCTGCCCCTTCGCATTCTATGTCTACCACAGTCACCCTACATGAGCATGCAAATTACCTATGCCAGCGAAATTTGTGGCCATTCCGCTCATATTGCCTTGATCTAAGCCTGTCCCATCGCATCGGCTATCCTTTGAAACACCACACGGCTAGCAACAATTGGTAGTCAGGCCAAAGACCTCTCATGGAGTGTTGATTTGTCTATACCTAGCTACCTGTCTTGCTCACTAAGCTTGAACTTGGAGCCATCATGTACGCGATTTAGGCCTTCTCAAAATTGAACGAAGCATTGAGACTTTATTCGGTAGAACCATATACTAAAACAATGGTATCGCGCGTATTGAACATTTTGACGCTTCAACACTTGACACTTGATACAACGGAAAATGAAATCACGGAACGACGGGCCTTCAGCATTCAAAATAAAAAAAGCTATCTATTTAGATAGCGCACAAAGGCAAGCTGATTGATAGATGAACCATATGGAAAGAGACTTGAGATCAATCTTTCTCTTTCTTTTGGAAGAATTTCCGATTTGGCCAAAACCCAATGTCGGGTATCAAAGCCATATATAGGTATGCCAGAAGGAAACGGCCTCACATGAAACTCATCCCAAAAGTTACCAAAATACAATCTCAGTATCGACTCGAGCAAAATTTGCAGTGGCCGAAATCTAGACTGAAACAAACATTAAATTCAATCTCAAACCATTATGAACCCGGTTTGATGGGATCAAAACCAGATGGAGAGCAAGATCAGAGCAGAGAAATCCTGGCCACAGCAAAAATAGACAAAGAAAAGCCTAAGCAAACTTATCTCTTAATAGTTTTAGCATGGATTCCAGTCCCTGTCGAGCCTTTGAGAACGCTTGCTTGATCCCCCTACGACGACCAAAGACAGGAGTGGGAAAAGAAAAATACTCCTCAGGTGGTGCTTCAACACCACACATTGTAATTGTGGGAGGTAGTTTTTCGACCCCCTCGATGGTCTCTAACTTTCGTGCATGTGGGAATATTTCTGGCGAGATTGATTGACATTGGCTCAACCGCGAAGGTCTCCGCACCCAGGTCACCCTCTGCGGGAACCGACCCCAAGAGGCATCACAGGCTTCATTCCGACACTCTGCCCACTGGGAAACTGATCGAATAGCACTAGACTCCACAAAGCCATTTCCAATAGCCAAATCCGTAGCACCGTATGTTTGCACATTGCCAAAGTCCGTACTTGTTGCTTCACCAGAATCTTCCGGGTCTTCAAGCCAGGTTCCATGAGGGGAGTAGTATTTGAAGACCCGTCCAGTTGAGGCACGTACAAGCTCTGATCCCCGGAGGTTGAACAAGGCATTCTCGGTGTCATCTAGAAGTACAACGACCGGGTCTATGTAGTCTCCTGCTCGGTTCAGAAGCGATAGAATTCTCCAGGTGGCACTTCCTTGTGGGTTCTTCGGTTTCGCCAATATTTTGGCAAGCGAATCGCATGGGGAAGTTGAGCTATGGGTGTATGTTCGCATTCCCATCCAGTTGAAGTGATGTATATCCTCATCGGCTTCAATCCAGGCTTGACGATCGGCAAAGATGGTATCAACAGATTGCTGTGCAACTGAAGAGACTTCAGAAGCTGTGTTTGGTGTCAATTGCCCCCAGTACAATTCGTCATCGGAGAGCGACCTCTCGTAACTTGAAGACGCATTGGTGGACTCACAGAGTTCATACTGGGTTTCTTCGGGAGCGCTTGAAGTCGAATCTGTAGCTCCATGGGCCCAGCCCCACAGCTCATCCCAAACCTCTTCGTATAGGGTTGAAAAGGATGGCTGAAACCGGGGGGTAGAAACAAGATTGGTAGTTGGAAAGGATTCGTCGTACCTAGTTGAATTAGGTGCACGATAATGAAGGGACTTTGTCATGGCAGCCATAGGTAAACTAGCGTCGGTTGCCGCGTCTTCGACATCTTGAGCCCAATCAAAGTGGCATCGACGAAGCAGATCCTCCAAGGGAGCGCTCTGTGTTGAGGGAGATTCATACAAGTTTCTATCACGCTTTGAGATAATTTTCAGAGGAGCTACATGGCGAACGTTCACTGGAGAATGCATCGTGATTTGATTGTACTAGTCGATAGATTTCAATGTTGTTGGAAATGTCACGATTGATGATCCGATATGTATATGTGAAGCGACAGTTAGAAAGTGAACAAAATTGTATCTAGGAAGAGATGGTAGTTTACCGCGAAATCTGTGTTATCCTGAATATAGAAGAAACGCGCTCTTCTGCTCTTATATTCTGGACAAAAAGATCACCATAGGACTCGAGAGAAAGTGCCGAGGCTATGATTGCTGTGCACTGCTGGTGGGTATCATCACCGCTATTTATTAGATGCATCGGGGGTAGTGACTAGCCTTTAGAAGTAAAGATCGATGTCCTCTAAAGAAATTTTGACAATGTTATTGATTTGATCTTTGTCCATCTACAACGAGTCTTACGTTGTCCATAATAACGGTGCACTTGGCCCTTTGTTAAGTTAAACATGGCCATCTCAACTAGAGGGATTATCTTCAAAGACAGACTGTCTCTTTGAGTAATTCAAACGAGTTGAGAGGCTTTGTCTCTCATTTTGGGCAGTCTCAAGCGAATACAAATAATTCATGGCATGCATTCAGAGACAAACTCCATCTTGTGCATTGCCTGCGAATGTTCGGGCCAAGTGCCTACTAGAGAGCGCATTTTAAGTAGCAGGCAGTCTTTATGAAGCAATTACAAACTAAAAGCACACATCTAAAATGTGCAAAAAGACAACATGCTCGCAACATCGATTTTCTCAACTCTTCGACTAGCTAGAGGGAATGCAAAAGAAACGAAAGGTTGCAACCTAAGTCTCGTTCAATCAATTCTATGAGTATGTGATGTAGAATTTTAAAAAAACCTTCCAAGGTGTACCACATGAAAAGAACAGTTAAGATCGCTAACGTTAGAGAGAGAGAAAAAGCGACCAAAGCCAAATTCGTCGCAGGCCATTCTCCATGGTTTACTACTTTGGAGATAGTTTGTAATCCATTAATTCAACAACTCCTGTCCTTAATAGCAATCTCACTTCGGATGCTGTTTATAAAAAATACTTCATATTCAAGGCAGATAGATGTACGGTCTAATCAGAAACTTGTGCGTTACGGGCCTTGCGCCTTCTCAATTTCCTTCGTTTTCTGCTATTTGCTTTCTTTATACACAAATCCAGCTAGATTTTGATAGAGTTGAATTTGTCCTCACCTGATATTCGTGCAATATCTGCGAATTTGATAAAGGAGTGAAAATGGTCATTTATGCGCAGCATATGACGAACTTGCATACTTCCAGGGCTCCCTATACACGAATTGCCCGTATGGGTGGCTTACTGAATTACTGCACTGATGTGTCCAGTTGCTCCGATTTTCATAGTGATTCAATTCATCACCTAGGTCAATCAACAAAGCGAATATGTCGGGCGCTTGGCGGGGTTTAGATCGAGCGAAGGGATCGGCCTTCCGATCCCTTCTTGCCGGGCCGCGTTGTATGTGATTACATAACACAAGATGACGCCAGAGTCCCCGCACTCGTTCGCGATTATTCTATTTATTTTGGGTTCTACCTTTCATTTCTCCTTGGCAGATAGAGAGTTCGATCCATGAGCCATCTGCGAGCTTGGATCAGATCAATTGGACCCTTTCAACGGCTCTCACACCCCTTTGCATCCCCAGCTCTCTCCGCAAATACCTCCTTCCCTCTTACAGCCTACCAGACTACTATCCGACGCACCATGGCTTCCGCAATGGCAAAGCGCCTCGAAGGCAAGACTATCGTCGTTACCGGCGCCTCATCCGGCATTGGAAAGAGCACAGCCAAGGAGTTCGCCCGCACATCGCCCAAGAACGTGAAGTTGATCCTTACCGCGCGCCGCATTGACACATTGAAGGAGGTCGCGGCGGAGATCACAAAGGAAGTTGGCGATGGTGTCCAGGTTCTTCCCGTCAAGCTAGATGTCAGTAACCCAGAGGAAGTCAACAACTTCGTTTCCTCCCTGCCTGAGGAGTTCAGAGAAATTGATATCCTTGTCAACAATGCGTGAGTCATACATATCAAGCTAGATTGATTGGTGTGCAGAATTGATACTGACAGTCTCGGTGTAGTGGCTTGGTCAAGGGTGTCGCCCAGGCACCCGAAATCGCTGCCGAGGATATCAAGGTCATGTTTGACACCAACGTCACTGGTCTCATTAACATGACCCAGGCCATCCTTCCCATCTTCAAGAAGCGCTCTGAGGGTGGCCGTGGAGATATCATTAATATTGGCAGTATCGCTGGTCGCGAGCCTTACTCTGGCGGCAGCATCTACTGCGCCACCAAGGCGGCTGTCCGCTCTTTCACTGACGCGCTGAGAAAAGAGCTCATCGCCACGAGAATTCGTGTTATTGAAATCGATCCTGGTCAAGTCGAGACGGTATGGTCATCGCATTCTTTAATGGTCATCTTGAATATGAAGCTAACGCCTGTGGCTAGGAGTTCTCTATCGTCCGATTCGGTGGAGACAAGGCAAAGGCTGATGCTGTCTACCAGTAAGTCATGCCGCATAAACCAAAAACATTCGGAGTTATTAATCATTTTCAGGGGCGTCGAGCCATTGACCGGCGATGACATCGCAGAGATCGTTGTCTTTGCGGCTGGTCGTCGTGAGAATGTTGTGATCGCTGATACCCTGGTGTTCCCCAGCCATCAAGTAAGCTTGTCTTGAAGTTAAATTTCATCGTTGACAGGTTCTAACAATACCATAGGCTGCGGCTGGTGTCATGCACCGCAAGTTGTAAATTGTCGGTCCAAATGAAGATATAGAGGGGTTTACAACATAGATGGTACTCGTTGTACATGTTTCAATGCCTCACGTCGTACGGCGTAGATACGAGGTTTATGTCTGACGTACAACAACACAGGTCTGAACTATGTCGATGATACCGAAATAAATAAGATTTTTCAAGCTTCGTAGATGGCATAGTAAACATAAGAAAAAGAACATTCCTAATTTTGAATGAGGCACACAGGCGTTGACCGGACCACGGCTATTGCCATGCACGCTCAATTCCAGAATGGTTCCCCATCCTCAAAGAGCGAGAAGGGCCAGTGCAGCCGCAGCACCACCAGCAGCCCAGCGCGTGTTTCCAGGATTCATGGGCATAGCAGCGTTACCACTCTTAGTCTGGCTAGTGGCAGCAGCACTGCTGCTATCTGCGGACGCGCCAGCAGTGCTAGTAACAGTACTAATACCAGTGTTAGTGCTGGTGGCAGTGGTATCAGAAGTAGAAGCAGAGGTGGTCAATGTAGCAGCGCTAGTCGACACGGCAGTCGAAGCTGAGACAGAGGCACCAGTGGTGGCGGAACTGCTATCAGTGCCAGTTGCGGTAATCGTCACAGGCATCAATGCGCCGCCAGGAATTTCCGTGATAGCGATGGCCGAGTTCCATGTGGAGGTCGTGCCACGCTCGTCAAAGATTGCGCCGCACTTTACGCTCGTGGAATCATACTTGCAGCTCTCAGCGATGGTGCTGTTTCCGGAAAGGATCAGCGATGACAGTGGGGGGAAGGGGGTTTCTTTTCGGGCTAGATACTCACACATCATCCATGTTGTATCCTAGGCTGACAGTTGAAGAACCTTGGTTCACGGTCATGCCAGCCGGGGGAAGGCCACAGTCATCCGAATCAACGTCGGCAGGACAGTTGATAAGATACTTGGTCATGGAGCCGCTCTGGAACAATGTCAATATTAGTCGTCTGTGCTGAATAAAGAAAGGGATGATCGCACATACAGATCCAATGACCTTGCCCTCAATTCGTTGCTCATCGAACCCGGGTAGAAACAGAGTGACTGTCTCGGCAGCGATGGCGGCGGTGGCACTAGCCAAGAGAGCGAAAGATTGGATACGCATGGTGTATTTAGTTGATTAACGAAAGAAAGGTTAAGCAAGCGAACGACAAAAAACGAATGTGAAAAGAAGATGAACTCAAGCTTTGAGAGACCATGTAAGATTCGGATTTATTTCAGGGTCTCATCCGCACTAAAAGTTCCTCAGTGCAGACAGAACAGTCTAGAGCTGTTTCGTATAATTGACGGATGGCGTTCAAACGGAGCCTCTCTAGTGGCTGCTTCATCAGTCAAGAGATGCTCTCTAGCCTATTTGGATGCTAGCGTAGATCTAGTCTCTGCAAAACCCATACCGCTGTACCTATTTAGGACATTTGAGCCCCTTTCTCTCCGTGGCTGCAAAAATAGCCACACGCAACCCATTTCGAATGCCGGTGGGGAGGAGTGCCAGGGTTTTATGGGAGATCCAGATTTTTATAGGGATTTTTTCTCTGTGTACTCTTATTCTCCGGAAGGAATGCCGTCCTCGGCACTCTGATGATAGTCAGAAAACGCTCCGGAGCTAGCCTAAGCAACACAAGTTGTTCCCAATTGGGACTTCAACTGGGCAGTGTCAATGCAAGGACTAGAAATTTCCCCCAAGCCAAGCCCTTGGCGGAGTGCCCGGGACCGCCCTCAGCCTCAACCTCCCCCGTTCTGTCATGGATGGCACAGGTTTGGATTTTCTCTCTATTTTTCGTTGGATTTTTTTTTAAATCTCTTAATTGATCTACATTTCGATACTTTAGCACTTCTTCATTATCACCTAGTTGTGTTTCGCAGAATTTGATATCGGAGAAGATCCTCACTGCATGCGTGATTCGATCTCTTTCAATAATATATTTGTGGTGTCTCGGGCAAAGAGAGTCAGACAAAACACTTCAGTGATGTCTTGATTTTAGGGCCATCGCTATTGTTGCGTCTTGTAAGATACCGGAGCTCCTTGCCCTCTTACTATACTTGCTCTCACATCCATGAATGGCCTTAAATCAACGTGAAATGGCTTCATTGAAACCCTTTTATGGGGCAGTCTGATCCCTCCTGTGAGTTTTCCTGGAGCTCCAGTCAACAGTCCTGGACCCTGAGTTACTACTCCGTACATCCATAGGGACTTGATAGCCCTGTGCCCCCAAGCCCCGCTAACCCGGCAAGGACGTTTTGCCAAGCGTCAAAGACAGTAATGCTAAGCGATTAGTTGGTGTCCTTTTCTTTATGGGCCAACCATATGGATCTTAACTAAAGTGCAGAAGATGGATGAGACAGGCTGTTTAATGTGGCTGATTCCGCAGGTGATCATTTCCCACCAAAACTCCAGGTTTCCCCCCCCCCCCCCGGAAGGATTCCCACGCGGCAAGCTGATTCGAGGACAGTCGTTCGCGACAACGGCTGCACGAAAACAGCTCCCATTTAGGCTCAATCTTTATACTGGAAACTCCTTGGCAAGGCATATTTCTACCTTGGCATCAACGATGAAGATAAGCTCCGACTGCTTCAATTCTATAAAGGAGCGCCATTTGAACCATTTTGGAAATGGCGCATTAACCCACCCCATCAAGAGCTAATAGCATCATTACTACCATTGATAGAAACCATTTTTCACACTAATCGACTCTTTCTCATCAACACCATGGCAGGAAAGATCGATGTTAACAACAAGGTCTACAAGCTGGCCGCCATGCCCTTTATTTTGGAGCGCAACGGCGAATACGATGAAGCTATCAAGATCTACAAGAGCGCCATCACAGTTTTGGATGAAGCAACTAAAATGTACAAGAAAGGAAACGTCCTCAAAATCAACAGAAAAATGTTCGAGAGACAGGTCCAAGTTCATCGAGAACGCCTAGCCTATCTTGAAAATCTAAAAAACAAGGGCAGTTTCGATGGCATAATATTGCCTCCGACGATTTTGGACGCGATGGAAGAAATTGAGGACGAGGATGGAAAGACTTCGTCTTTGACCCAAGTAAGCCACACATTCCAGGCCATGGCACACTCTTTCACACCACTAATTTTTTGTCAACTGTAAGATCCGTCGGGATCTTAATACTTTTCGCGGAGATGACCCCAGTCAAGCCAATGCTATCAGCACAGCTCCGGCCCACCTCCAGCCATTCCTCAATGCCGACACCTCGCAGCGGCCCTTCTTTTCGCTGACCCTCTCTCCCTCGGCCCCCACGGTTACTTACCGCATTACGCATTCCTCGGAGCTTGTCAGCCTGGGGATGCGCTCGCATTGGTTTTTCGTCAAAGACGCGACCAACACACATGTCTTGTATGCCCTCCAATTTGTCTGGAGCAACGAAGCGCCCATTGTCGACACGGTCCTTCGACGCGCCGGGGAATTCTTACCTCAAATTGGAGCGACGAGTGTGAAACTACAAAAGACCAAAGGAGGAAGTTTCCGGCTGATGACGCGGACAATCCCCGATATGGGCGCAGTCACCGAGATTCCGGATGGAGAAATGCAGCGAAAGGATTGGTCCCCGCGACGATTTGAGTATGGGGGACGCAATTTCGTTTGGAAGACCGCAGCGGCAGAGGGGAAGAAAGAGGGTGGGATGTTTGGGAGCTTTGGTATCGCTTGGGAGACTTTATATGAGACGAAGCGTGTGTGGGCCAAAAGTGGAAGTAGGACGGGGAAGATGGAAGATGAAATTGTGGGTCCCAGGCTGTGCTGGGGAGAAAAGAAAGGGGGAAATGGTGCTGAACACAGCATTCACATGGTCGGTGGCTTGGATCTGTATTTCAGAGAACATCTGCTCGCGGTCCAGTTGTCGAGGTTGGCTCGTGTCAGCTATCCCCCGCAAAAGGATACCAAGGGGATTGAAGTAGCAACAGCCGGTCTGGGTTGGCTGTCCATTGTTTCGTCGTTGGCATGAAATTCTGGCGAGGGGCGGGCATCTGATTTCGTTTTCGCTGCATACATTCCTCTTTATGATACCGAGATGTCCTTTTTAACTTACGATGAAGAAACGAATTAACATCATTTCAATGGACTATCGTCTGACTGCTGGGCTTAGATTCCATGGGGGTGATCTTCTAGTGGTTTTTTGAGGTTGCCCCAAGAAGTCCTTGTCCAAATTTCCAGCACAGAAGCCGATAATTTGAGCAAAAAGAGGTTGTTTCCTATAACTGCCAGTATGCAACCCTTAGAAGGGCTGGGAAAAGAGCCACTTGCCTGTTCATCGGACATGGAGATGGCCATTTCCTCAAACAGCGAGTCAAACCACTCGGTGTCTCCAAATGAGACGACGGCGAGTAATTGAAAAGTGGGAATAGCTTCGAATTTAAGAACGGAGTTCGTGGGGGGAGCTATTACTATAGGATCTGGGGTCCCATTCCTAGCGCTTGCAATTCTGATGGCCGGATGAGCCCTTTGGAATGACCGCAAAAACCAGCATTCTCAACTTTTGCAGGCCGTTTGTTAACCGACCTCTGAAGACTTCCCATCCTGGCCTCCAAATCCTGCAGGCATGAGCAAAGTCGTTTTCGAGAGTTGAGGTGGGAGACTCGGTAGGACCGTGTGGTGTAAAATTCCGTGACGAGCAAACGACTGCTCATTTAATGGGTGCACCCAACACTCTCATCGTCAAACGCAATGGCAGCGGGCGAATAATCACCGGCGATAGCACAGATTAGTCTGGCCTCTGCGGTATTTTGGCTGCACACTCAACAAAAACAAAACACCAACCCATTACCGGACTAATGATGTGGGCTAGGGCGTATCAAGAGCCCACTTTCTGTGCTGGGCATAAAGCTGGATTACGGTACATCTATCCCATGAAACGGACCTTGGTCACTGCTGAGAAAGTCAAAAAAGGGGTTCAAAGTCCGTGTTTTTAAGATCAAAATTGATTCAAGTCTACAAGATCTTCCTGCGAATTAGGAAGTCGATATTGGCACTGTAACCGCAGAAAGCCCCACATAAGATCAGAGCAGATCAGTTCTTTTCGTTGATCTGGCATGAAGGTTTGGAGGTTTGGATTTCGATATATCATACAAGCCGAGGCAGACGCCCCTTTTGACTGCCGCACAGCAGAATCAAGAGTGAGACACAGTTACGGGTGTGGAGGTGCTGCTCGCACAGGCATTCGACCAGTTTCTACTCCGTGCTCTGGGTGGAACTTGAGCTGCGGAGGGAGATCATAGCGGAGACAATTGTGATCCTTGACAGAGAGCGGGTAGTGTGCTTTAGATTTGGAATTCAATACGTCAATTTTGGAACCATTGACAGATACAATATGCAATTGCTTAATTTGAAAACACTACATAACACACCGGTCAATTGGCGCTCGATACGAGAGATCCTACTCGGGTGATTGGATCATCTGGTCGAATAGATCGAATGTTCGGCTACATATTGCATTGGCTTTGCGTCAATTGGCGCTTCCGCCGTACTAAGATTGCCTGAGGGAAATGGATAACTCACGCTGTATCTTCCATTCTGGCAACCCGCAGATAGTCGAAGATCCAATTGGCTTGGGCCTTTGATAAACACATCGTCCTTGGGACATTCGATTGCCCCAATCGCGGATTTCCTGCTCCAAGATGGGCAAGTTTTGACAATTCACTGGCAGCCATCCCGTAGATGTAGGCTGGATCAGTAAAGCCAGAACATTCAAAACCCAGAACTTGCTGTTGCTGCTTCTTCCCGGACAGTTGAGACTGCTGTCATAGGACCTTATTACCCTGTCGATGAATGGATGCAAGGGACGAGTGATGTCGGCGATTCGGAATAAGCCTATAAGAAGTGGAGTGTTGAAGACTCCAGCAGTATACTCATGCTCGGGTCTTAGTCCAGATCCTGTATCTACGACATGGTATGCCATTCCTCCAACGGAGTCCGAGTGGAGATACAGACCCCAGTAGAACTCGTTGAGCTCGGGTGGTTCTTGGCGAGCTTGGAGAATGACATACAGTCCGCCGACATGGAGATCTGCAAAAGACATTGGGAGATGATTGGCTGATGTTGGGGTTTCTCAACCCTGGACTTGTTGGCCGTTTGCTTTATCTGCTTGGGCGTTGGGTAGGCACGAGTTGGGTAGCGCTCACCCTATCTTCACAACGAACACAAAAGTTTTCGGTGATTTTTTGTTTTATCAGAGTCAAGTACTTAAATCTCCGACAGATTGGACACGTTGTGTGAACGGTCTCTGCTCATGTGCCCAGGCACACTTGTACCCCCATGGTCTGTTGCACGTCAAGCGGGATTGGTGATGCCTTCGGTCTCAAGTCAACTCAAGTGTGATTCGGTCTTTTTCTTAACTGGCGAGTAATTCCGGGGTATCTGTCCGGTTCTTTTATTTTGGTTTTTGTTTTCCTTTTTTCTGGGCCAGCTGCTGAGTTCACATCCATCTAATTGATGTTTGCAGAAAAGCGTTCTACTTGGATCGGTCTCCGCGCGTGGACATCTCCCATCGCATTTGGCCGTTGGCCTGATCGATTTCGATCCTTCCTCCCTTGGCAAGTATGGATTCTGTTGGTTCAAAGGGACTTTCATCAGTTTCACGGTTGTGTGACTTGGCAAGTAGAATTGTCGCCAGATATTGGACAACGCCTACCAACAGTCTGTCCCATCACATCACTTTATGCGGCTCATTATCGGTCCTCTCATCCATGTCTTGTAGTTCTAAGCGCTGCCTCGAAACACAGTTCCTCGTACCACTTGCCGGATGTTGATAGATGCACCAGCGTCATGATCAATCACAGACCGTGCGTCCGTTTGACGGATCAGATCGGGATCAGCCCACATTACAAATCAACACGCAGTCTTCTTGATTATCAAATCAGTTCTTCTAAGAATGCTTCAGGACCATATGGAAATTTGAATGCCGACCAGCTAACAGAATAACATGAGGATTTAATCTCGGCTCCTGATCCACCTTCAGACATCTATTCGAGCCAATATTGCATAGTCGTGCCCAGGTGCACAATCTCATTTCAATCCACTCATCCAACGGAAAGGAAGCAACCGAGTTACGCTTAGGTCAAGACAGGCATCGCAGGGAAGAACCGACAGGATCGAAAATCGCGCCAAGTTCTTAAAAAAAAAATTAGGACTGGTGAAGTATGTTTTAGAACATTACTAAGATCGAGGTGATTCAAGGCTCAAATGTATCTCTGCACACTATGCGGGGCCGAATTCAAAGTCTCAAGTCGCGGGGTGCCTGGCAGCCGTCAACTTCAAATGTCAGGGCCTGGGAGACCATTCAACAAACGATGGTGGGAAATGGTATAGATCACGTCCCCGATCTACAACATTTATATCTATTCCAAAAAAGACACACACACACACACAAAAACGGCGTGGCCTTAATGTTGGTAGGGTGATGATCGGGGTGAAAAATCAGTGGATCGGCATCAAACGCTCCGGTAATTTGTAGGGATTTCAAGAGTGGGCCAGTGACAAGAATAGGAATATTCCGATGTATCCAATCATCAAAAGTGACAGAGGTGATTGATGCAAATATGCAAGGCGTCTACTGCAAGCCCTCCAGGCGTATAAGATGGCCAAGATGAACATGCGGTGTCGAACAAGACGGTTGATTTTTGGATACCCCCAACCTCAGTTGAATGATCTGGAATTTTGGCTTCCACGTTTCTGAACCGAACCTGGTGTACAACATAAGTGTACGAAGTACAACTTGGACATCGGCCAATGCCCTAAAAGCGCCATAGAGGGGACCCATCTCCACCGGAACGGCAGATCCACTCAGGAACGAACTGGGCTTCCTGCCTTCTGTTCAATGGTACATGTGCAGCCAATATTGTCTCGACCAGATGGCGGTAATTGCGGATTTGGTATGCTCCGTAGATTGCGAGTAAAAGGAGGCATGAAAAAAAAAACTCCGCTATATAGTGCCAATTGCACGTTGCTTGATGGGGCCGTGGCTTACGCCAGTCCAATTTCCAGAGACCTAGCGTACGGCCATATGTTCGAAATCGGAATCTAAAAAAGAAAGGAGACGATACAACATAGGAAATAACACACTTGAATAGATCCGACTGCAATGGAAAACGTAGAAATCTCTACAGGAGCGAAGAATTCCTAACCCCCCTCCCCCCAAAAAAGGGCAAATATAAAAGCAATCTACTCAATGGCGCGCGCATGTCCCCTTTTTCTGGTCCAATCACCATTTTCTCCCCACTATCTCCTGAATTTCCCTTCGCCCCTTCTCTCCCTTCTTCCCTTTCTGTTTTCTCTAACAAAAAAAAAAAGAAACAAGGTCTCTACGGGTTTAATTTTTCCTCTACATCTTTTGTTTACCCCAGAACTTACCATTTGAAGATTCTCTGGAAGAGAAGCGCCTTGGAAGCTCCCGTTTGGTCTAATTTCTTCCCGTTCCAACCTCCGAACTCTCCCCCTAATTCTTCTCCCTTTGTTTTTTTTTTTTTTAAACGGTACTTAAGATTTCGCTTTAAATTGTTCTGCGACTCCTTTCTGATCGACTTAATATCTCTTTTCTGTTTCATCTTCTCTACTTGGACCTAACTCAGAATGGCCTCAAAGGTGAGAGATGGTTCAACGTGATCCCGAATCAGGCTGGTTCGTCGAGATTCCCTGTGGCTAATTCCGGATTGATCAACAGTTCCTAAGAGAATACAAGCTGGTGGTTGTCGGCGGTGGTGGTGTCGGAAAGTCCTGCTTGACCATCCAGCTGATCCAGAGTCACTTCGTGGACGAGTACGATCCAACGATTGAAGGTGAGCACTCCGAAGCCGTCCCGTTTCATCGGCTGTGCGGATCGTGTCGTGTTTACCCAGAGCCTCCCAGACCTCGGTTGAGCAACAGAGCTGATTTGGAACCTTCTTCCGCCCATAGATTCCTACCGCAAGCAGTGTGTGATCGATGATGAAGTCGCTTTGTTGGATGTCCTGGATACAGCCGGCCAGGAGGAATACTCGGCTATGCGAGAACAATACATGCGAACCGGCGAGGGATTCCTGCTCATCTACTCCATTACGTCGCGCCAGTCCTTCGAAGAAATTATGACCTTCCAACAGCAAATCCTGCGCGTCAAGGACAAGGACTACTTCCCCATCATTGTTGTTGCCAACAAGTGCGATTTGGAGAAGGAGCGTGTTGTCTCCGAGCAAGGTATATGCCCCTTCTCTACTTCCGACCTCCCCTGAACTCTTTCCTGCAAACCCTCAATCCGAATCCCCGATTCCATGGCTAACCATTTACCCCGTACAACAGAGGGCGAAGCGCTCGCCCGCCAGTTTGGCTGCAAATTCATCGAAACATCCGCCAAGTCCCGCATCAACGTGGAGAACGCCTTCTACGACCTCGTCCGCGAGATCCGTCGCTACAACAAGGAGATGTCCTCGCACCCCTCCGGCTCCGGCGCGGCCGGCGCCCGCGCACCAGAGGACAAAATGGACGTGAGCGATCCGGAAGAGAGCGCTGGTTTGTGCGCGAAGTGCGTCATCATGTAAAAAAACCCCCCCAAGATACCAATATGATCCGAATCGCTGCGATGTCCTCGAACCTCGGAACAACCCCGAATCCGAAATACACAGCTTACATCGGGAGGAGTTACGGGGAAGGATTTACATGTCCAAGGTGGTGCACACCCACCTTTGGAAAAGTTGGATATCTTTGTTTACTTTTGAATGGCCTTAATCTACAACTCTGCCACTCATATCACAAATCGGAAAATACGGAGACTGCAAAATGATTGCAACCTCGACAGAACAGAAAACAACCAAACCAGAAAAAAATCCCAAAGAAGAAGTGGCATTGTCGTTTGTGTTACGGATGTTTGTGGGTTCTTCAATGGACTCGCATTCTTGATGACTGCCGACCTTGACGCCCAACCTCGTCTCACGAAACATTTTGATTCCCCTTTTGTTGTCCGATTGCGTCTTTGTTTTTCCTTTTCTTTTTATTTTTTTTATTATCTTTTTTAACTGTTCAAGTCTTTGCGAAAGATCGGTTTTTGTTATCTATCGCCTCTTATTACCTTTTTTATCTTTTTTTTTCCCCTTGTCGCTCCCGCGAGACGACACGGCTGTCCATATATGTTCTTTCATGGCAAGGTGGATTCCTTGCATTCCATCATTGCGGTGTGTTCCTTTGTTCTTGGGTATGGCTGTTCTGGTATTTTGATTGTTCTATCTATCGTTGAGTGCTCTACGTATGAAGACATACGCCCATCTATCCCCGATGGTGCAATCTATTATTCAGTCTGATCACTACGGAAACTATTCTAATATATTAAGATCTTTTTCAACGAGCTGATGGCAAGGGCTCACTTGGTGCATGGCCCCAATGACAGTTGCCAGGTCATGCGGTGTATTCCCAATGCAGAATCTTCGGTGGTGCCTTAATTTGAGAAATCTAGCCTGGTCAATTTTGTCCATTTTAACCCTATGATTTGAGATATACATCTCGAATGGCTCTGCTCTATGTGCTGCGTGTATTTGAAAAGTCGCAGAGCCCTAGAAAACGTACGTTATCAACACTCTACTGACTGTAAACATGCTCCGAGTCGGAAGGAGGATCCAACTCATCCTCCTTCGCAACCAGCGTACCCTGAACATTCTCCTCCACCTCACTAGCCAACGACTCCATGTAAGCCTTATCCGTCCCGACCAAAGTAACGGTATTGCGCTTTTTACCCCAACGCGGGTAGCTGCCAACTTTGATCCCCCGAGGCCCAACCTTAGCCGCCAGCTCAGTCAGGTACGGCGCCACGGCACTCTCCGGCAACGGGGTGCTGAACATCAAGCGGAACGTCCCCTTGCCCTCCGGATCAGCCAAACGGGGGATAAGAGAGGGCTTCAAGCTCAGAAGCAAGCGTTCGAAGAGCCTCGGCACGCCAGGTAGGATGTGCACGTTGCCATTCACCACCGCGATCGGCACCCACAGGTCGTCGGCGACGAACAGAGCTTGTGACTCGGCGGAGACCTGCGGATCGAAGGGCAGCTCGACCATGCGCAGCTT